CAGTATTTTAAATATTTAAGTGGACATGTAGAAAGCTACAAGACTTTTCGTATGGAACATTTAAATGTTAAAGTGCTTTCTTAGGCAAAATAAATCCAGTACTTAACCAAACCTTCTTCTTAATCAAAACGGACAAAAATTGCCCCCTAAATCGTCTTGCCGGTGAAACCATTGATAGAAAAGGCCACTTATTCAAAGTCTTGGAAATGTTGACAGTCTTTTTTGTCCGCCACGAAGAGAATAGAAACGGGGAAAAAATTAACAATACCCTTATTATTGGTTCCCCTCTTTCCTTATTGCCGGCCGATATTAAGCCGTCTCAACAGAACAGATTTAAAATATGACCATTTTATTAATAGCGAATTTTCGCATAGCACTGTTCCATGGCTTTGCATACTAATTTTACAGCGTGTTTGAAAATGTAAACGTAATGAAATAAACGACGTTTAAAAATGTGTACTTCACACTTTGACTGAGACCCAGGAAAGATAAGAATATCATAACAAGTACACGCAGTCAGGAAAATAAATCAGAATAGGACGTAATTAATAGATTGGTGAAAACTACAAGTGATTGCGCTTGCATTTCTAGAAGAACGCACTAATATACCACAACAAAGATTAGTAAATTTAATTTCCAATATGCCAGGGAAATGCTAAAATGCCACAGTCGCTGGCAGCTAAATGTAAATATAATATTTTAACTTCTCTACTTTTGTTGTGCTGTTGTTATTTTTTGGCGGCTTTTATTATCGAAACGTTTGACACAGGGTGATTCGAAACTTATGATAAGTGATAAAACGTGACTTGTGTTCTCCATTATTTGTCTTGGTAAATGAAACATCAACAGTAGCAACCCTTGAAGTAAAATCCAAAGATTCAAGCTGCAAATTAAAAAGTCGGTTAATCGTCGTAAACAATGGATGACTTTAAAAGCAATACTCGTGTTTTGTGAGTTATTTTAGTTACAATTATTTTCAATGTTACAGAATTGTCTGTCCAAACATGTGTCTTCGCATTTATCAGATCAGCAGACATGTTCTGGCAAACAAATGCCTTTGATACTAGTGTTACATATAATTTGGAACAGGAGGTAACAGAGTATAAAAATTGTAAACCAGTTCAAAAATATTGCTTTATTTAAAAACATTTATAAATTCAACAGCACACATTAAAATTATATCATATAATGTTTCATATTATTATAATGTGATGAATTCGTCATAGTCCATTTGTCCATTTTAAAATGTAAAAAATATTGTATTCCTTCTATTTTACTACATTAGATAAATCTGTGAGTAATATGGAAGTTTTTAAATATAATATTTTTACTAATAAATAGATTGGGCGTCAACAATGTTCATATTTTAATCCAGTTTTTCCTCACCATAAACCTAATAATAAAGTCAATTTTAGCTCTATAAGACATTCCCATAATATTCTGCAATCCTTCATTTTTGTCAAAATGAAGGTGGCCTATTTCGGATAAAATTGCACCTATATTGCACATGACTCTATTTTCAAATTCAGTTAGGAAACTCTCATAAGTATGCTCTTCAAGGTCGATATAAGCTAGCGACATGAGACGAGATAATTCAATGTAGTATGAACTCACAAGGTCATCAAAGTGATCTTCTAAAACTTCTGAAGCCATACTTGTAAGCATGAAAAATGCTAAATCAGAAGCACAGGAATCAAATTGCATATATCCAGCATCTAAAAATTTTACTTTTGCTGGGCCATTATGATCTGGAGGTTTATACATTATGTTACGTATGGAACATTTAGAATGAGATATGGTGGTCCACGAACGAACTTCCGCAACATAATCTCCATGAGTATTGTTGGCATACCTTTGTAAGTGACAATCAACCACTCCGATATAACGATACATATCTGAGTCGGGCGTAATGACCAAACATATTTTCTTGAGTTCTGCAAGAGCGTTTCTAGGCTCAAAGTTAGTCCGTGTGGTTAACCGATTTTGCGATCTTGATAAACGACGACTTCCTAAATGCATGTACATTGCTATAGGGGTGGCATGCAATAGGGCCAAACGTTTGATTATCAGTTTAGCCACTCCGTAGCTACAAGGTTCCCTGAATTTCTGAAATCCTAAGGGACCTAAGTTCTGAAGTAAAATAGCTGCTGAGGGATCAGCTTTTTGAGCATCTTGATTTTGCAAACTGAGAGCGGATCCATAGCAAACAGGAAAAAGATCGGAATATTTATGATCAACAAAAATCCATGTCGTTTGATATTGATCAAATGTTTGCAACACATTTGAATATATCATAACTTCCTTTTCCACTTTGATGCGAATATTTCTCTTCTCCAAATTACCTGCGGGTATAGACCCCAACACTTTTGCTACTACCTCCAGAGTTTTAAAAGTTCGTTGGCCATGAACTGTTTCGACCAAGTGGACTCTCAGGAAGTACTTATGTGGATACACTAAAGGGTCTCTATCAATCACCGTGTCTTCCCTCAAGAGTGTAATATCAGGCGAAGAATGCCTCAGCAATTTTATCAAGTTATGTTCCTTGAATGGCTGTGTTATTGCAACAGGAAKCCCTTCTATCCKCCGTGGTAGTCTAATCATTCCACGGGCTCTCTGAATAGCTCTGTTAATAGCACTGTAAAAAATACAKAAATAATATAATTTTATTTCCATTAAAATTTTTATTTATTTTCCTGRCTGCRTGGAATGGTTCTTATATTCTTATCCTTCCKGGCTCTCAGTCAAAGTRCAAAGTAAAAATTTGAATATCGTTTATTTCATTAYSATTCGGCGAGACAAYAKCGCMATCATCAGATTTAAATTTTACAAMGTAGAAAATAATTCAAACAAATTTAAAGTTTGCATTCTRACKACATAAATGATACAACACMAGAMCAGTAGCAGGGAACTCTTTYAAGMTTMAAAAGACAAATTAARYATAAAKTATGTTKTTRYATSCGAYAYTSCATGYTYAAAAACTTGSRTACTKYCARRTGCCATTAATCCAGCAYTTWCRKTT